TGACACGGTACGTAACGGCGACCAGTACAAAGTACAGGCACCGTTGCGACCCAGTCTACACTTTGTCAACCACCACCACGGGCGACGACACCGTCGACTCTCCCACCTCTAAGGCGGGATGGGAAGACAGGTCGTACGAGTACCGGCCGCCGGCGCTCGACTCTCTCTCTTACGCCGATCGTCGAACTGCACACGCCAGCACCTCCGATCGCCGTATCACCAACCTCATAAAACTATACACCATAGTCACTTTCATTACGTGCACACAAATTGTACTTTTTTTTTTCTTTGGCGTCTGAATAAATTCATTTATACCAGAACCAGTGGTCGTCGTTCTTTTTTTTTGTTGTTCGTTGGTTACACTTCAAGACCGGCTCACCGCAATCTATACCAACCGCCGTAGCCGTGTCAACCTGTCAAAAAGACCGTGTGCGACTAAACTCGGTATCAATTTTGTTACGTATTATTTTCGTCGGCATACAATTTTAAATGGAAAAACCAACAAAAACAATATATCTAGTCACTTACCTCTTATCTCTTCGAACGTTGCAATATTTTCGTTTATTTTCGCCGACAGTCGACTTAGTGGGAGAAATTAGATCTCAAAACCGCGCACACGGTTGTTTCGGTACCTATTATATTTGACAGCCGACATTATTTCGGGTTTTTCTTTTTCATTACGTACTTTCCACACGCGTCACAGGTGCATTATTCAAAAGGTATGATATTTTATATTAGTTGATGTTTATGTTGATTATATTATATTTATTATATATTATAATTTGTAAGTATTATAGTATTAGTATTTATACTATAAGTATTATATTATATTGATTATATTAGGTAATATAATACTATATTTGTTATAACATAGGACATAATGAATACAGAACAAATTACTGGATGGTTAGGAGAGAATATAAGTGAGGATGTAGATTTGTTAGAGTTTGATGACGGGAATGAATCAGATAAAAGTAACAATGAATTCGTTGAGAACACTAATCATAACTCAAGTTCTGAGGAATCTGATGAGGAATGTGTAGAAAATTTAAATTTATGGTTTTCGGGTCCACAATACGTGAGCAAAGATGAAAAATCTTATTGGAATATACATCAACCTCCTAAAAATACCCGCACAAGGTCACATAATATAATTAGACAGCTGCCGGGTGTAAAAAAAAATGCTCAAAATGCTAAAACTATAGAAGATGCGTGGACATTATTTTTTCCTGATAATATGCTAGAACAAATTTTCAAATACACTAATAAACGATTAGATAAGTTTAGATCTAGCTACGCTAGAGAAAGAGATGTTCTTCCAACTAATTTGATTGAAATAAAGTCAGTTATCTTGCTGGAGTGAAGAAATCTGCGCACATAAATTTAGATGAATTTTGGCACACTGATGGCACGGGCATAGAACTTTTTCGATTAGTTATGTCTTTACGTAGATTTCGTCTTCTTTTGCGCGCATTACGTTTTGATGACTCTGATACACGTGAAGATCGAAAAAAACTTGATAAAGTGGCACCAATCAGGGAAATGTTTGATGGATTTATTGATAGGTCTAAAAATTACTACAATCTTAGTTCAAATGTAACTATAGATGAAATGTTAGAAAGTTTTCGTGGGCGTTGTTCTTTTCGTCAATATATGCCGAACAAGCCTGCGAAATATGGTATAAAAGTGCACGCGTCAGTCGATTCTGAAACATACTATGTATACAATATGGAAATATACGCAGGTCAACAACCAGAAGGTCCGTATAAAGTAGATAATAGTGCAAGCGCGGTAATCAAAAGATTGATAGCTCCCATATCTAAGTCTGGAAGGAATATTACTTGCGATAATTGGTACACTTCATTTCCTCTGGCAAATGACCTACTAAAAATTCATAATTTGACAATGGTCGGGACTGTGAGAAAAAATAAAAGGGAAAGACCTCCATTATTTACTCAAAAACTAAAAGAAAGACCCATCAACTCAAGTATTTTTGGGTTTCAAAAAATATGACTTTATTGTCTTATAAAGCGACACAAAATAAGATAGTGTTGTTATTATCAACCATGCATCATAGTGATGAAATTGACCAAGATTCTGGGGAAATTTGTAAACCTGAAATCATAAATTATTATAATTCTACAAAAGGCGGAGTTGATACTGTGGATTTTATGAAAGGAAATTATTCCACAGCTAGAAATTGTCATCGATGGCCAATGACAATTTTTTTTTCGTTGTTGAACATTGGTGTCATAAATAGCCAAATAATATATACAAATAATACACGACATATTTTACCAAGAAAAAAATACATCGCTGATTTAGCAAAAGTATTAGTTCTGCAAGAAATGAAAAAAAGAGTACAAACTCAAAGTATTCCGATTCAAATAAAAAATAGAATACATGAGATTACTGGCACAAAACAAGAAAAATTTGAAAAACAAGGTGTACCAGGAAGATGTGGTTATTGTGATTGGCGAAAAAATAGAAAAACTAAAACTGTATGTGGAATATGTGAAACATATATTTGCAAAGAGCATAGTGGACAAACAGTATGTGTTAACTGTCAAAATTCAATTGAGGAACATTCAGAATAATATCAAAACCGTATCGTATTCAAACATATTCATTCAATAAAATTATTTTTCATTTATTTTCATTTTTATCTTAAGTATTATAGTTCATTAATACCAATTTATATTGTAAAATATAATAAATAAATAAAATATAATTTTTGTAAATTATTAATAAATGCATTTGTATGTAAAATGTTAAAAAAAAATATGAGATATAAGTTAACGGTCAAAAAGACCTTGTGCGACCACATGTGTTGCATACAATGGTGCGACTCATGGCGGGTTAAATACTTATTAATATAATTCATTTTTTCATTATAAAGGTTTTTCGTGTTCGTTGTTATATAGAATTTATGTTATATAATTAGTATAATTAGTATAATAATAAGTCTCCCCAGAATATTTACTCACGAGCCCCTACTGTTGGTACACGCAAACGGGATTAAATTTGAAAATGTGTATATTTATTCTAAAACATTAGATCAAGCTAAATATGTATTGCTTGATAAGATTTTGAGCGGTGTTCCGGGCGTTAAATTATTTAAATTCAGCGATAACGAAACGGTGATTCAGCCAGAAAAAGCTCTACCTAATTCAGTTTTTGTAAAATTCAGTTTAGTTGTAAAAACTAAAAATCACGGCATCATCCGATCATACTTCGCGAGATCTAGACACAACCTTATAGACGTGTGTTATTTAGCGCAGTCGTATTCACGCGTACCGAAACAGTTGATCCGTGACAACGCTGATTTTATAGTGCTCTTCAAACAAGATGAAACGAATTTAAAACACGTTTACGACGAACATTGTACTGGCGATATTAAATACTCGGAGCTTAAAGATTTTTGCATGACGTGTTGGAGGGGTGGGAGATTCGAATTAGTCGTTATCAGTAGCGAAAATGAGCTCGACAGCGGGCGTTATAGGTATGGGTTCGATACTTTTGTAGTTATATAATAAGGCGCTCGGTGAAAATCTACTACCTTAACTCAAGATCATGGATACAACGAATAGCTCACCATTATCTACGTCTACGGTATTGTGGGATATAATACAAGCGAGAGCGAATATAAAACAGAAATATAAAGAATTACAAACTGATCGATTTGAAACGGAAGTGGCAATAAATAATACGTTTAGTTCCATTATCGACCCGCTGAATGAAATAAGGTCAGACATCAAAAGGAAACCTTCTAAGGGCGTATCGTCGCCGCCGTCGACGGCACGCGCGGATTCTATTGTGAATAGTTTCACGCTCCCTACAACAATCCTCACCGACAACGTTTAAGGATTTGAATGCATGTTTTGGACAAAATATACGGACCTAGAAAATTATCTAGTGATGTATTCGAATTGGGTAATAAAGAAATACAATTTATCTATGTCGAGGTACGCAAAGAAGGTGATACACAAACATACCAGGTAACGGCGGGACTCATTTATTATTCCTCAAATCACCGGTGTTGGAAAAATACACGCAAGCGGATTTAAATGCATATAAACTGATTTTAACTAGGACATCGGTGCACAAGACATCGGACGGTTCGCGTATTCGCAAATCCAAAGGACAGAAATCTAGTCTAATTTCGAATTTGTTTTCGAGGAGAAGTAATATTATTAAGGGTGCGGGTATTAATATGCGATTACAAAAACACAATATCACTTATTGGAACGATCCTAACGAGTTGGTTGACAGACTACGTATATTGTACTCGTCTCTCGCGGCCGGTAATACTGGTGTTCGTAACGAGATAATATCGATTTGCGAAGAGTTGGTCGAGGCTAAAATATTGAAAAAAAATACTCAATGTCTAAGCGCGCGATCGCGGTCGAACTTGATGCGCCTGCCCGGAGAAAATACCCGATGCATCAATATTCCACCGTGAATAAATCATATAGATATATACTGTGTATTATCGACTGTTTCACCAAATACTCGTGGGCTGTTGGTTTGAAGACGAAGAAAGGCGAAGAAGTCGCTGCGGTGGCTAGTAAAATTTTCACACAGAATAGTCCTAATCTATTACACGTCGATCAGGGGTGTGAATTCTACAATAAACATTTCGAAGCTTTAGTTAAAAAACACAATATCAAAATGTATAGTACGTTTAGCGCGGTCAAGGCGTCTATCGTAGAAAGATTTAATCGCACGCTGAAACAGCGAATGTTTAAAGAATTCACTAGCAGAGGTTCACGCACGTGGATCACGATTTTACTGTCGTTAATCGATGACTATAACACCTGCTCTACCCGATGCCCACCCGTCAGGGGTAACACTGAAACACGATGTCGTGAAAACTGGAAAAATAAAATTTAGCGTTGGAGACAAAGTCTGCATTAGCGTGTACAAGGGTGTTTTAACCAAAGGATATTTACCTAATTGGTCTACGGAAATATTTACTTTTATTAAAGTGAATAAGACTACGCCGAACACATTTATTCTTCAAGATTATACAGGCAGTCCTATAGCTGGGGGTTTTTACGCCGAAGAAATACGCAAAACAATGTTGCCCGACGATTATCTGGAGGAAAAAGTAATTCGCACCAAGGGTCGACGTGTATTTGTTCGTTGGTTAGGTTTTACGGACGAACATAATAGTTGGATAAATAAGGCAGATCTTAAAATATAAGCACAGTTACCGCGGGGCAATGGATGCATTTGGAGGTTCGCCGACCAGTCGGCTGAATAAAACCAGAGCGGATATGGATGAAAAATACGAAAAAGAGCTCGCCTCACACGTTAATTTAATCGAGATAAATGCGGGGAAAATCACCGCGTTAAATGATGAGCTTACAAAGGAACTAGCCATACATAGTAATTTATCTGGGGCGAACGAGAAAGAAATATCGATGATCGACGGAGAGGCTCAGGTAGTTGAAATGAAAATAATGCATTTAGAATCAACGCTCGTACCGGCAGTCGAAAAATAATTTACTGAAACCAATAATAAAATTGAATCTTATATGGAAACCGTTGAGATTATAAATAAAAACATCAAAGATTTGAAAACTAACTTGGCGTATGCATTTGCCAGGATAGTTATACTCGAGGATAGAATCGATGGGTATCAGTATTCATTGAAAACTCCTTTTAGCAAGTCTTTATAATATATATCTGTATATTATAATATAGCAATGGGAATCGCACGAATTATGTCGTCAGCTATTCTAGATATCCATTGTGTGCTAGGTCCGAACTCGAAATACATGATAAAAGTAATGTCTATAGTCGACATAGACGGGTGGGCTAGTCAACATTGGATTTTTAAACATACTCGAACGCGCGAAAATACGTCAAAAGTCAATACTGTCAACATGTGACTGTTTCGCAATTACCATCGACTGTCGCTGGTTTGTGGAGACGTTGAGTATTCGGAAATAGGAAAGATTTTAAAATCTTTACATTTCGAATGCATTTATGTGAAAGGTGGAGAAAAACGGCGGATCAAACAAGACTTCATTCCTAATGTCAAAATTATAGAGATGGGCGAGGATTTGGACTGTCCGCGACTAGACCAACTACACGGGCAGTTAGCCGAAAATATACATCTCCAACCGTGCTGCTTATACCATAAGGATTTAGTTCGTTCACAATGTACACATAATCGAGTTTTTACATTGCTGAAATGGTTTAAAAATAATACTCGAAAAAATAATATTATATATAATTTAGTTTTTGTAAATAATATTTCTGAAATAAATGTATATTATATCATATAATCGTGTATTGCGTTTTATTACACAAATATATGTGTGCTTATATATATATATATATATATATAATTCACATTTGAGATTCTATACAGTCTCGCATTTCATAACACGTCTTCTACAAATAAATTGTAGATAAATATATAATTGACGTTTCTGTATACACGATATCTTCTAAATGGTTATGATTGGGTTCGATTATTGTGTTTCCCACATAAACAACCGTTTTCATTAGCTACATCTGGGCTGACCTATAGCCGGGGTGCTCATTATCTGACGGCGACGGTCAACCCGCCAGCCGCGTGTGATCGAAGCAACACATCCGATTAGCTATACGATGCGCGTGATCTCCTGGAAGGTCAACTCTTATCCACACATGTGTGCATCAATCGCAGGATCCGTTAAATATTGCGAGCGCAACGATCGATTTTGGGTGGGAAGTGAATTTTAAATCAGTCGTATATTTTCGCCACCACGAAACAGCCATCTCTTAATTAACAGACGTTAATTTTTTTAGTTTTGAATACGTTAACATTTATATTTTAACCATATCAACCCATCATTGCACCGCTCTAGACACGTCTTCTAATAATTATAAAAGTGAGTAAATTTAATTAATTAATTAAAGAACATATATATATATATATTCAACTGCGTCGCGCATCGTTTTTGTTCAATATTAAGTCTTTTTTTTTTTTTAGTACTAACTCAAAGCAAACGTCTTCGTCCAGTTCATCTCCACCTTTATTCATCAATAATATACAGAAAATAAAGTGAGTTAATTTAATTTTTATTTAAATTATAAAAATTTATCTATTCGCGCATACGCACGCGTTTAGACAATTTATTTTTTATCTAATTTTTTTTTTTTTTTTTCTACCCTCAGCGTATTATGGCTTTCCTCCAGAACTTCAGAACTCCAGAACAGAAGAGTCAAGTCAACAATGTGAATCTCTCAATTGGCAAACTTCGAATGAACGAACCATACCCCGTGCGCACAATGAAAAATGTGGACACAAAGTTTGGCCGTGCCGTATCTTGCGTTCTGATAGATGTAGCGAACACGAGAACAATCAATGTCTTTCTACCAAAAGCTATCCAAATGGCAGACGAGGATATCGCCGGGTAAAATCTTGGTGCTGTACTGCCGGTAAGCGTTATATACCGGGGGTTGAATAAGAGGAGTTTTACTATCGATTTCGAATGAAATCGATAGTAAAACACTTTTCTATGTACATTATACACAGTTTATTTAATTATTATAAAAATATTTACAATTATGTTCAATAAAAAATGTTTACATATATGTT